CGATGGGGTGCTGCTAAAATTTCTAATTCTCATGGGAAAACTTGGGACAAGCAGGAACATTTCTGACTTCCATCGCACTCCAAGGTGACAAGAGCGTAGCCCCATGAATCTTGGGTTAGGAGGTCCCCCTAGCTTCCTCTCCGGCAGGCATGGGAGTGAGGGCTCCCCTCTAAGCCTGAGACCTTGCAAAAATGACACCCTCCCTCTCGCTGGCGTGCCCCGCGCAGGTGTCTGCCGCCTGCGCATCTTCCATCCACCCTCTGCCTCAGCAGACAGGGCAGCAGCCACTCGGGGTCGGCGTGTCAGAGGGCGCCGTAGGTTCCGGCCGAGGAGGAGGGGACTGGGGGGGTGATGGCTGGCAAGCCCCCTCCCCCGGCCGGCCGCCGCCCTTTCATCTCCGCGCCTCGACCAGCCCCCACATGGCTTAATCAGGCGCGGCTGTGCCTGGCGGACCCTGAACATCTGGATCCCCGCGCGGCCCTCCCCCGTCCCGCCCCTCCCGGGCTAGGCTGCCGCGACCCTGCGGCTAGGGCCTCCAGCCTGCGGTTTGCGCGAGAGCCAGGGAACCCCGCATCTAACCCACCGCGCGCCAGGCCTGCGCCTTGGGAAACAGCCATTGGTTATGACCAATACTGTTCCCCGTTTCACAGGTTGGGAAACCTAGTCCCCAGGACCCCTCCGCAGAGCCAGATTTCAAGCCCACACATGTCAATTCCAGAGCCCAGCGCGCTGAAGCCGTCCACAATTACTGTTCTTCATTCATTCCAAACAAAACACTTCCCAAGTATTTTCTTGTAACAACCTATAAGGAAGAACTGGCAGCGTTGTCCAAGTTACAGCTGAGGAAATTGAGGATCAGGGTGGCAAAGAGGGTCGGCCCGGGTGACAAGCGAGGGAAGCCAAGGGAGGTGGGCAGACCCCTGCCAAGACTAGGAGGTGGGGAGTCAGGGGAATCGGGCTTAAGAGGCGTCTCTTAAACCACAACAGGAAGGAAGGAGACCCGCGCCTTTTTAAAAGCGGAAGGGGAAACTGAGGCTGGAGGAGTTGGGACGCTGGCCTAGGTCGCTGGACAGGAGTGAGAGGGTTTGATTGCCTCCCACTCACCCCCTTTTCCGCTGCAAGAGGCCGCCTGGGGCGGGAGCGGAAGGAGGACTTGACCCCGGCCCCCCAGGTGAGCCCCCGCGCCCCTCCTGCCGTTCCCGAGGGAGCAGGTCCAGGTGAGGGGCAGGCGGGCCGGCGGGCGGCCGGGGTCGGGTTTCAGGAAATCCGCCGACATTCCTTCGGGGCTTAAGAGGGAAAGTTGACGCGGCACCGCCCCTCGCCCCCCCCCCACTTCCTACCCCCCGGGGCGGCAGGCGGTGGTGGGGGGCGGGGGGGGCGGGGGGAGGGCGCTGCGGCCGGCCTGGGCGTGAATCAGAGGCGGGCCGGGAGTCCGGGAAGCGGCAGCCGAGGTCAGGGCGGGCATCGGACAAGCGCCCTTTATCCCTTGCCGCCCTCGCCACGACCCTGCTGACCCCCACCCCCAAGCCGGGTACAGCCTGGGGAGCGGGCACGGCTCCCTGGCGCCGGCGGCTTGCAGACAGTGGGTGGGGGGAGGGGAAGGGACACAACTGTCACCCCCAACATAGCTGGTGCCTCCTGGAACCCAGACGTCCTAGGTTCTCCAGGGTGCGGAGAGGCAGGGAACCCAGGCCTCCGAGGCCCGGTAAACACTGGCCCTGACCTAGACACAGGCAGCTCTTCACTCCTGAGATCTCACCTCCAATGCCTATGGGGGCTGGATTTTTTTAAGTATAGACTGCACAAAGCTTGGGACCCAGGCAACCCAGCTCCCCAGGCTGAACCTCCAGGGTGGAAATGATAAAGCCCCGCCTTCTCTTGCACACACGTCCTGAACCTAGGTTCTGCTGTCCCAAGCCCACGTCCAGGCGAGCCCCTCACTGTCCCTGCTTCCTGGGCACACTGGCCTGGAACACAAGGCAGCTAATCCCATACTGAGGGGTCTCAACATGGGAGAGGCAGCTCTGTGCCCTCCTCACTCCCAATGGGACCCTGAAGGGGCTGTTACCACTGCCTCTCCCTGGGGCCCCCTCAGTGCCCTGGAATTATGCAGGGAGCTGGGCTGGAGGCTCTCCCCCAAGGTAATCCTTAGGTGCAAAGACTGAGGAGCCCCTCCCTCATGTGGGGCCCTCCCTCCATCTGCCACCTCAGTACATTCCCAGCCACCTTCAAGGACTTGGGTCAATATTTGTCAGAAGTTCCATCAACGCTCATTCCCCTTCCTGCACAAAGAGGTGGTGGGACTGATGAGGAAGGGGTTAAGCCACCTGGAGAACCAAGGGCAGGGAAGGGTGCACCTAGAGGCCAAATCACTTTCCTTAAAGTCAAAGGTTTGAGGTAAAGGTCACCCAGAGGGCAGAGGGTATGCTCCAAGGAGGGGCTGGGTGAACAACCCATACCCTTCTACAGGTAAGGATCAGAGAGGGGTGGCTACCAGGTTGGGTCACACTGCAAGTCCAGGGCCTGGCTGGGACCCCAGACAGCATGATTCACTGGGACTGAACTTTCTTGCTACTCTGAGGCACTGAGAATTCTCCATCCTTTCATTTTGCAAATGTTCACTGAGCTCTTCTCCTGTGGCCCTCACTGGGCCCAGCATGAGGTCCTAATGGCTCTCAGGGTGCTCACAGTCTGAAGAAAATATCTCAAGAGAAAGATGATGTTCGAAGAACTGTGCTACAAAGATAATTTAAAAAGGAGAAGGGGATGGAGGTTGCCTGGGAAGGTTGGGGGACCCCTCTGAGAATACTTGACCTGTGACCTGACGGAAGAGAAGGTGCTAACTGGGGGAAGATCTGGGGGAACTGCATTCCTGCAGGGGGAAAAGCAAATGTACAAAGACCCCCCTGATAATAAACAAGCCTATGTGTTTGGGAGAAACGGGTGCAGCAGCTGGAGTGGAGTGAGGGAGAGGAAGAGAGAGGATGAGAAGAGAGGAGAAAAGGAGGGGGGAGAGGGTGGCAGGGCAAAAAAGACCTGCTTTGCTTCTTTTAAAAGCTCCTTCTGGGGCTTCCCTGGTGGCGCAGTGGTTGAGAGTCCGCCTGCCGATGCAGGGGACTGGCACGTGGGGTTCGTGCCCCAATCCAGGAAGATCCCACATGCTGCGGAGCCGCTGGGCCCGTGAGCCATGGCCGCTGAGCCTGCGCGTCCGGAGCCTGTGCTCCGCAACAGGAGAGGCCACAACAGTGAGAGGCCCGCGTACCGCAAAAAAAAGAAAGAAAGAAAGAAAAAGCTCCTTCTGCCTGCTGTACAGACGAGGGCAAGAGGATTTACCCAGGAAGCCTAGGAGGAGGCTGGGCGGCATCCCAGACGGAGATGGTGGGGCCTGGAGCCGGATGGGGTGGAGGAAAGGGGTCCGAATCTCAGAATGGGGATGTGTTTTGGAATCAGCCAACAGGATTTGCTGATGGATTGGACGTAGGGGATGAGCGAAGGAGAGAGTTGTCACGCGCACCTCCAGGTCTCTGGCCCGAGCATCTGGGTGGATGGGGGAGCCTTTTCCCGAGACTGGGGAATGACTGGGGAGGAGCAGAGACTGGGGAGGAAAATAATCAAGATTTTGCTCCAGAAGCCTGAAGTCCTCCAGGAGGGAGTCAAACGTTGCACGACAGAGGTTGTGGGGGAGGGGGTGGTATATATCCTGAAAACACAATTCCAGCCAAGAACTGCCACCTCCACTTAACTCTCTGGACCACCTGGCAGGTGGGACTATGGCCCCATTTTTCAGAGGTGACAAACTGAGGCTCCAAAAGAATGTGCCCCCGGTGCCAGACACTATGCTAAGTGTTTAGACCGTGGAGCCTTCTGCTACGTTGCAACTTCCCACAGAAACCCTTAGGCTGGCTAGGAGTCACCCACTGTGCTGAGGAGGAAACTGAGGCAGAGAGGCCTGGTGTGCCCCAGTAAACGACAGTGCAGTATGCCAGGGCTTTACTCTCTCCTTCACAAACCCATCCAGCGTCCAGAATGGGGGACTAGAGGGGCGCACCCCGGACTCCATCCTTTAATCCTCTTTTCTGACAGTCTGAGGTCTGAGTTGGGGACCCAAGTAGCAGGGGTGGAGGGCAGCCGTGAGCAAACGAGATGGGAACTCCTGAGCCCTCCTCAGACGCTTTTACCCGCTTGGCTTGTTAGGGACCAAGACGGAGGGTCCAGATCTCTAAGGGAACCCCTGGAAAGGGGAGTTAGAGCCCTTCCCCTCTGAGGGCACGCGGCTGGGGGCAGGGCTGCGACTCTAACAGCCCGGCTGAAGGCGGCCCCGGAACTCTCATTTCAGGCTCCCCCTCCACCGGGGCCTTGGAGGTCAGGAGCCCTTTTATCGTGGGCGCCCGAATCGGGTGGGGACTAAGAGGAGGGGGGTGAGGCGCCCGGGCCTGGAGGGGTCCCGAAACTCAAGCAGTGGCCAAAAATAATAACACGGAGAAGGATCCCTACGCAAAAAAAAAGAAGACAAACTATGCGTCGCTCGGGGCAGCCGGCGTTACCTGGAGTCGGCGGGCGGCGGCCGCCCGAGCGATTAGTCACTGCGTGGCGC